GCTATTGATGCCACCTCAGTTCCCCGTAATTTCCGTGAAGCTGTTTAGTTTGCTTCTTGGCGTGAGGCTATGGCTACTGAGTACTTGGCTCTGGAGCGTAATCATACTTGGGATGTTGTAGATCTTCCTCCTAATCGCCGAGCCCTTGGTTTTCAGTGGGTATACAAGACCAAATTTCGGTCTGATGGTACTAAGGAGCGTGATAAGGCTCGCCTTGTTGTTTTAGGCAATCATCAGGAACTTGGTGTTGATTATACTGACACTTTTGCTCCTGTTGCCAAACTTGCTACTGTTCGTGTTTTGTTGTCTGTTGCAGTGGCTCGTGGTTGGCAGGTTGATCAGTTGGATGTTAATAATGCCTTCCTACATGGTGATTTACAGGATGAGATTTATATGAAACTACCCCCTCGCTATAGTCATCTTTTTCCAGGGAAAGTTTGTCGTCTTCGAAAGTCCTTATACGGGCTTCGTCAGTCCCCTCGTAATTGGTTCACTAAGCTCCGCATTGCTCTACGACGATATGGTTTTCGTCAAACCTACGCTGATCACACTCTTTTTGTTCTCCAACGTGGCCCTGATATGTTGGTTGTGCTTGTTTATGTTGATGATATTCTGGTGGCAAGTAACAACAGGTCCTTATGTACGTCATTCAAGAAGTATTTAGATGATTGTTTTCATCTCAAGGATCTTGGTCCAGTTTCCTATTTTCTGGGGATTGAGTGTGCTCGCTCTCCAGATGGTATAGTCCTTACTCAGCGTAAGTATGCTCTTGACATTATTGATGAGGCCAACCTGCTTGGTTGCAAGCCTGTGGACACTCCATTACCGGTTAATCATAATTTGGCTCGATCTACCAGTGCTGAGATTCGTGATCCTCTGAAGTATCGTCGTCTTGTGGGTCGCTTGTTGTACCTGACCATTACTCGTCCGGATATTTGTTATGCCGTTCACACTCTTTCTCAGTTTATGCAGGCACCCCGTCTCGATCATTGGAATGCGGCTCTTCGTGTCCTCCGTTATCTCAAGGGCCACCCTGGTCAGGGTATTTTGTTGCGCAGTGATAGCAATCTCGCCCTCACTGCTTTTTCTGATTCTGATTGGGCTAGTTGTCCCCTCACACGCAGATCTGTCACTGGTTATTTCATTTTATTGGGTGGCTCTCCAGTTTCATGGCGCACAAAGAAGCAGACTACAGTTTCTCGGTCTTCTGCAGAAGCTGAGTATCGAGCTATGGCAAATGCTTGTGCCGAAATCCGTTGGTTGCGTGGAATCCTGGCCGCCTTATACGTTCCTTGTGTAGCGACTCCTCGTTTATATTGTGACAACAAGTCTGCCTTGTTCATTGCCGCTAATCCAGTATTTCATGAGCGTTCGAAGCATATTGATATTGATTGCCATATAGTCCGGGAATGCCTTCAGCGTAATCATATTGTCACTGCTTATGTTCCTACACGTTTTCAGACAGCGGACATCTTCACAAAGGCTCTCTCCGGTCCTCTTTTTCACAGCTTGTTATCCAAGTTGGGCATTTATGATCTTCATATGGGCCCGTAGCTAGTATACTCCGTCATGTATATATACTTCCTGTGACTAATGGAAAACACAAGTTTCACCTCCAATAGTTTCTACACGGAGACTCAACCGGAACCGTCTGGATCGAAAAAAAGTACACGCCGGAGGAGCCACAAAGCCAAAAGCACGTTGACCGAGGCGGCACGGTCAATCCAAAAGTGGACGCCGGAGGAGGAGTGCATATTGGCGTCGGCTTGGGTTGACGTCTCCGAGCATCCTATCATTGGTAAAAAATTTATTTTTTCTAATATATTTATGTTTTTATTTATATATATTATATTTAATGGTGTCTAAACAAATTGTGTAATANTACTTCCTGTGACTAATGGAAAACACAAGTTTCACCTCCAATAGTTTCTACACGGAGACTCAACCGGAACCGTCTGGATCGAAAAAAAGTACACGCCGGAGGAGCCACAAAGCCAAAAGCACGTTGACCGAGGCGGCACGGTCAATCCAAAAGTGGACGCCGGAGGAGGAGTGCATATTGGCGTCGGCTTGGGTTGACGTCTCCGAGCATCCTATCATTGGTAAAAAATTTATTTTTTCTAATATATTTATGTTTTTATTTATATATATTATATTTAATGGTGTCTAAACAAATTGTGTAATACATTTTTAAAGGTACGGAGCAAACGAAGGATGCGATGTGGGATCGTATCGAGGAGAAGTTCTTCACGGCGATGAAAAAGGACGGCTCCTACCGAACCCGGGACCAACTCACTTCCAAATGGAGCCACATCAACAAAAAAGTACGAAAGTTTATGGGAGTATACGAGGAATGCTCCTGGTCCCGGAGGAGCGGCATGAACGACGCCGATGTTCTCTGGCTTGCCACGACCCGGTATCAAGACGACGGGAACCAAGGCAAGGTGCCCATCGATCTTTGGGGGATTTTGAGTCGTTCCCCAAAGTGGCAACAACTCAACAATCCCGACGGCGGATCATTGCGAAAAAGATCCGCCGTCGACGCCGAGGTTGAGATCGACGAGACTATCGGTTCTACCGATCAAATCCCTCCCTTCAATGTTGCGGATTCCGATGACGAGGACCCCATTCCACGGCCGATCGGAAGAAAGAAGGCAAAATCCATTGCCTCTGGTTCGGGAGGGTCCGCCTCTGTTTCCGCTTCTCCCCGCGACGAAATCGGCCGGGCAATGATTGAACAACTTCGGGCGTTCAATCTCCAAGAACAAGAGAGGTTGAAGCTAAAGGAGAAGGAGTTGAAGCTAAAGGAGCAGGAAGCCGAGATGAAAGTCATGCAAACCGATCCCCGGACGTTGTCGGAGTTTGGACGAATGATCTATGAGCAAAGAATGAGAGAGATCAAGGAGAAATATAATTTACTTTAGTTTTTTTTATTAATGTATCTTTTTTTAAATTATTGACGCTTTTTTTTTATTTAATGAATGTATTTTTTTATTATTCGTGTTTCAATTTAATTAAATAATAAATTAATTACATTTTATTAATTTAATTTTAAAAGATGTATATTTAAAAATGTAAAAAATGAAGGTTTGAAGCCCAGTTTTGAAGCCCCGGGGCTTCAAACCCATTTCTAGTGAATTTTGGGTGTAAGTTAAAGCTGACGTGGCAGAGAAAGAAAGTTTGAAGCCCCGGGGCTTCATAACCATTACCAGTGCTCTTATGATGCAAAGAGGAATTATATGATTTTTTACGAGAAATATAACTAACATAAACAAATAATATAAAATAATTTTAAAACATACAAAAAATATAAATACTCCCTCCGTTTGGAAATATTCATTCGATTCAATTTTTTTTCGTCCAAAAATAATCTTTCTTTTCTACCTTTTCATCCCAACTCTTGCAAAAATACCCTTCTTCTCCTCCACATTTTTTGTTGGACCATGCTACACTTACACCAAAAAATATACCCCATTTGTACACCACAGGTTTGCACAAACATTTCGATGGTTTACACCGACACAAGTGTTGGTGCGTTAATAAAAATTCACACGGACACAAATGTTGGTGCGTTTAACAAAAATTAGTTTTACACCAACACAAAGTATTGGTGCAAAACTGCGGGGTATAAATTGGGGTACAAATCTTAGGGTACACATAACATAATCCTTTTTTGTTTGTTTCTTTTTTTTCTTCTCTTTCTCCGTTCGTTTCACTGCCAGGTATGCTCTCTCTCTCCCACTTCCCCCCCCCCCTGCTTTTTCTTCTCCTCATTTTCTTCAATCCTCTTCATCTTCTTTCTCCCCTTTTTTATGAACTAGATCTAGCCATCATCTTCTCTCTCTCTCCCTCCATCCTTTTCTTCTTCTTCTTTTCTTCTTCAAAAGTCAATTAATGCCGCTGGTTGTTTTCAAATATGGAAGAACGCGCTTGGCTGATTCCTGTTGTTCTTCGATTAGAAATTTGAGCAGACGAGTGAATTGAAGTTTTCCCCTTCTTTGATCCTGCACAGAGTAGGTCTTAAGCCGCTGTTGTGGGGATTTGGAGATCCATTTGTGCATAAAGAGATTCGTGGCTGAGATTCTCCTTTGCGGGCTGATCTGACGTCTTCGATTGGAAATTTGAGTAGTACATTGAAATTGGGGTCTGGTTTGCGCACTAGAGAAAAGGAGATATCGCCTCTGCCAGCTGGTAAATGAAGGGTAGGGGTATTTTGGATAAATTCTACACATAATCAACTTCCCATAAAAATGGCCAAAATTCAAAATGGGAAGTTCTTTTTCGAACGGAAGAAGTATTATTTAAAAAATAAGAAACCAAAATAAAATTTCCCTTTGATTTAATTATAATTTGAAACAAAAAATAAGAAACCCAACTTGGGTTCACTTATCCAAACATATTGGAGAATATGAAAAATTATACGGAGTACTTTCTTTGAAGATAGGGTGGTATTAGCACCAACTCTCGAAATTATTGAAATGGTAAATGAATTTGTCATGTCCCTTATTCCTTGTGACAAAAAGGAAATACCTGAGTTTTGATTCCTCCTGCCAGGTGGATGGAGATGTAGGTGTCGATAGCAATTGGATAACAATTGAGTTTCTTAATGAGATCAAATGTTCAGGAATTCCAAACCACAGAATAGTGTTGAAAAAAGGGGTTCCAAGTGTGTAATTAAGAAACATTGATCAAACATCTAGATTATGTAATGGTACACAGTTAATTGTGGAAGAGCTGCGAAAGAAAGTCATCAGAGCAATTCTAGTCTTAGGAAGCAGAGTCGGGGATAAGGTTTACATGTCTCGGATGAATATGGTACCATTTGATTCAGGAGTTTCAAAGACAATTCCCGATTGCTTTATGTTTTGCTATGATTATTAACAAAAGTCTAGGTCAAACATTATCATTTGTGGAATTATTTTTTAGCAAGCCGGTATTCACCCATAGTAAGCTTTAGGTTGTTGTTTCACAAGTGGAAGCCAAAACAGGATTGAACTGTTAGTTTTAGAAGGGAGTAGGAGCCCTTGCAACTTTACCAAAAATGTTGTATACCATGAAGTTTTTAAAAAAATTTGGATTTAATTAAGACTTTTCATTGTTAACTTTCAACGGTTGATGTGGGACATACATTGCTAAATATTAGATATTAGTCCTTCAACTTTAGATGTCAAATTTCTATGCTATTATAGATTGTATTACAATGAAAAAAAATAGAATTGTACAAAATATCTTTTAACCTCTTGCATGTCACGGGTTAAAATACTTGTTCGTATATACATTAAAAAAGTAAAATAAGAAAATCATTGACAATAACTAATCAATGATAAATTTAACCATTTACTTTGTTATATTAAATATCTTTTCAATATCACTATATCTTTTAATCTCTATGAAAATGGAATGATCAATTCTTCTATATATAGTGAAGAGAGTTTATAATATTATTTATAATTATAATATTAGTATAATATTAGTAATTATAATTTAATCTATAACACCCCAACCCATGTAATTAACTTGAACCAACGAGTCAGGAAATCAGGTTGCTACTAAATTGGTATTCACATGAACATTATTTAAAAAAAATCTAAAATAAAACATTCATTCATATTAACTTAAAATAAGTATAAGTTATTTGGAGGAAAATAATCCAAACATTTCCAGAAGCCTTCAATCCAACATAAAAAAACTTAATACTTTGATTTATAAATAAATAAAATATTTAACATAATAAAACAAGAGCTTCAGCCATACACCAGCATCATGTCTCATTGTCCTCAAGTTGATCACCCGTCTCTTGATTCCTCCCTGCGTGCAGTCAAAGACAACAAAGAGTACACGCTCAGCTGAAAGCTTAATTAGAATATATCTAACGACAGAACTAATTCATAGACTATAATACATCGATACATAATCACACAATATCAGAAGAATTAACAATTACCATTATTCAACAATATGTTTAATCGTTCTCTTGTTCAGTTCAAATCTTGCCTATTTGATCTATAACACCTAATCCGCATAACTCGAATACATGGGTCAGCGAACCAGGATTGCTACTTAATTGGTATCCAAACTAATCATATTTTCAAAACAGTTAAAATTTCTAATTCAAAACATAATTTGAAACATTCATTTGAGTAATTAAAAACAGTGCAGAATCTTAAGTCAACATTTGAAGCCTAACTTGTGAATCAAGCGTGTAAAAGTAATAAGTTATTCAGAAATAAATAAGAACTCAAAGTCTTCAAGAATTCCCACGAACATCTCTTCATCCTCATTGCCCTTTGAGATTGGGTCCAAATTCATCTTGACCCTGATTACCTGCATGTAGCAAAACAGAACACTACATGCTCAGCATTGACGGTGAGTGATAAATATATAACATTCAATCATACATATAGATGAACTCAATAGCTCACAACATCATACGATAACATGCATGTAGATATAGCAGAATTAGCATCGCAGGCATTTTATAATAGTGTACAATATTATCAACATCAATAACACATGCTTGCCATATTAGTCACCAGACTTATGTCCTTCTCTATCTCATAACCTATTCTAGGTTAAGGCTTATTTATTCACAACTTGCCTAGGGAGTCATGACCTTCCCCTTCGTAACAAAGGTAAAGCTCAAACCAACTCGGGAGTTCCTCATTGGGTGGGTGAGATCCTTTTCCCCTTCGAAACGACAGTTTATACAACCATGTGCACATGTTTTTACTCAAATAGCCCTTGGACCGAGCAAGTACTACATGACTACTAAACTTTTTTATACATATGGCATGACTTGCCACTATTCCATTCAGGCCAATCCTAGAATCCATCTTGGTAGACTAACTCAATCATTTAATATCTTCATACATATGACACACAAGGATCAATGCATTAAAACATAATAAATCATGATTCAATCATCGGCCTACCATTGAGAGTGAACACTCAGGCTTACCATCATGCAACATACAGACTTGCAGTAAATCCTCGACATGTAAACAAATTAAAGGGTTAATAAGCAGCACCAGACGATAGTTGTCACGATACCCTGGTGCCGATGGACTGTATCTGGGTACCACCAAGCAGTGCCTAGTCACCGGATGGAATAACGACTAGAAGAGACTTTTGACCTGTGACGCTGGCTATCGGCCCTCTAGTAGGGAGTACTGACCATAACTAGTGTTCGACAGAGAATATCTCTCTATGGAGATAGTTAGGTATCGGTAGGCAGTAGTAAGGTACCGGTAGGCGGTACCTAGCTACCGCCAGGCGTGGTAACTACATAGTCATGTCCGATTTTCTTCTTTTCAACTCCAATTTGCAACAAAACATATATAGAACTCTTTGATCACATTCAGAAAGACCATATCAACATATCATTGATAAAATAGCGCCTAAACATGCTTCTAATAGGTTAAATCATCAATAACCCAAATCTCCCCAAACAAACATCAAATTCCACATAAATCAACCATATGGGATTATGAATGGGATTTTCAAACCTATACGTATAATCTAGCGTTATATGTTCATGTACTCACCTCGAATTTGACGAAACTAAATTACAAAGAATTGAACCTATGAACGGTGGAGATGGTGCGGTGAAACAGTGGCGTGGATTCTCTCTATCTTCTTCTTCCTCTTCTCGTGGTTCCTTCTATGATACTCGTTGCTGCTCCAATTGCAAAAAGAGACGAGAGAGACATGCACTACGCCAAAAATAGATGATGACAACTGCTTTTTTTAGTAGTCTAACTATGCTGGTTTCAGTAGTCTTCCGAGCAGCTGTCTGATATATTTACAGACTACTATTTAAAAACAATTGTGTAATACAGTTGACGACACCTATTTTGTGATGTTTCAGAGTACATGTTTTTGAAGTTGTCCCCGTATGAGTAAGACATCTGTTTTCTAGAGTTAAAGACAACTATGATTTTTTGTTGTCTTTCTATAATGAATACTACTATTGTTTTCAACTTCAGACTCCTATTACGTGATGTTTTCGTTCAACAATATAGACATCTAATTTCAAAAGTAGTTGAAAAAAATATCAGACTGCTGCTCGGAAGACTACTGAACAAAAATAGCAGCAGACAAGTGTTTTTTTATACTCCCAGTGGGCAAACCACCAAGCTTTGTGGGGTAAGGTCTAGGCAACCCTTACCGAGTTTTATTAAGATCTATTCGTCACCACAGAGTGAGGGGAGGACCAAACCGAGGCCTAACGCCAGCCCCTCATACGGAAGACATGCCTTCCGGGGAGTACAATAAGTAAAGAAAGGATGGGGGAAGCCTAGAATAAGGCTTGACCAAAGCCACAAGAAGGTCCTAACTACCAACATATTAATCTAGGGCTTGACCAAAGCCACAATAAGGTCTAAACATATGAAACCAAAACTACGGCATGACCAATGCCACATACGGTCAAAACAAAAAAACAAACAACCGAAACCAAAGCATTACCAATGTCACAAGATAAGTGCACCATGGTAATGTGTCATTAAAAGGTCATGAGAAAGAAGAATGACAACACAAGAGGAGTGGTAATCATCTCCAAAGGGAGGAATACAAACCCATCCGAGTCAACCACTCCTCACTTCACAAACCATACATACCAAGACTAGGAAAAGATATTATAAGCGCACCTATAATATCCAACTTCTCCTTAGCCCCAGTAGAACCAACCAGTAATGGTTTAAAAACCTCCTAACAGAAAGCAAACACTATCCCTAGCAGATAGGAAAAGGAAATTGAGCGCACTAAATATCCAAGTTCTCCATATCCCCAGAAAGATAGGACTGCATAATCAAGTCGAAGTAGAAGCAACAAAGCTAGGAATGCGTTGAATATCTTGTTGGCATAGCACTTGACCGTAGGCAGGTAAATAAAAAATATCACATAACTCCCAACATGGATGGAGTTGATTATTGCACCACTTAACTAAATAATTTGTGACCCTATTAGCCTCATGCTCACAAATATGTGCTGTATAAGTACAGCAAGATAACAGAACCAACCTGCTGAAGTTGTTCATAACAATTAGAGGAACAGCAAGGTTAAGAAGCTGCACCAGTTCCTCAAAGTGTGCCTCAAATTGAATTCTGTGTAAACCAGCATTTAAACACCAAGGAATAATAGCAATTAATATCTCAAGTGCTGCCTCAATTTTAGTGAACATGCCCCTGATGCTTTGTGCAAATAGAAAAGTCCCTGTAGAATCCCTAATCACAGCTGCTGCCCCACTTCTATGGTTTGATTGCAAATATGCCACATTAAGTTTGATAGTGTGCACGGATGGGGTCCCAAGAGACTTTTTTAAAATGGAAATGTTTGGGTAAAACACCTTTAAGTTGAAAAATAGCTTTCTAGTCAGTAAAGGAAGTGAAAAGTGAGGGCCATTTCGTACAAACCACCTCTGTTGCACCCTTCCTCACTTTGAAAATAACACAAGCCACATTAATTTGCCCCTCCCCATACTTTAATGCTGCATAGTGAACCCATAGTTCCCAAAGTATAAGCACTGGAATACAGTGCTGCAAATAAGCCCTGACCATAGGTCTCTTAGAGGGTATTTTTGGGCCCCACCAAGTGTCTAAATGTTGAGTAACAGAGGCAGCCATGTTATTCATTCCAAATATATCATAGAAATATTGTCATACATATTGAGCTATATTGCTTTGTGAAAAAACATGCTCAGTAGTTTCAAGAGAGGGAGTATCACAACATAAGCAGTTTGAAGGCAAATTATAACCAAACTTTAATAGAATGGAGTCCAGAGGTAAT